GTCTACTCATGTGTTAATGGATTTAAACTTCAAATAAGTTTTTTTAGATTAAAATATTTTATAGCAAATATTTATTATGATAGTTAATTTATAAATATTATTATTATTTTACGGGTTACTAACAAACTAACAATATGTTTGAATAGATTATAAACTAGCACACGTTTATATAGCGATATTTGACTGTAATATTGGCTACAAAAATATTAGCTATAAATATAAGTCGATAGTAAAAGTGCTAATCATTGCAAATGACAAAATGATTTACAAATTGATTGCAAGAAATGAAATTCAATTTTTCATATGATTTCTGAGTCTCAAAGTCATACTCATTGACGAAAAATATATGGAAAACTATTTTATGTATGAATATCTCATTAAATCTATAAACCAATCGTTAGATTAATATATTTTTTCTTATAATATAAATACGTTAATAGTATTTGCGATAAAAATTACTTATGAATCAAAAATGGGTTTTTAAAGTATACACTTGAAAAAAACATACATTTTTAATCATTGACTTCAATGTACTTTAATATATACTTAGATATGTACTTCAATATCTAGTTATGTGTATAAATATATAAATAATTAATGTATGGTAGCTGTGTAAATCTGCAATATATTATCAAAAGGCACTGAAAATACAAATATCAAAAATTGTTTACAAAATTATTCACTATTTCTCAGAAAATGTATTTTCAGTTCATTTATTTGTATTAATATATTTCAAAGTAAAATATTTTTCAATCCAATAAATATCATGTAAAATATGGTCTAAAATCTCACATTTCATTACAAATCTAATTACAAATCTAAACACAAAAACTATTTATAAATAAACAATATTTAACTCCCTATCCATATCCCACAATACTAGCCCCATGGACCCCCTACCCACCTAAATAATTATGATAATGAGATCAATAACTCAATATAAATACCAATAAATAAAACATTATATTATTTTTACAAATGATTGCATAGCGTGATGGTTGCAAAACATATTAATATACTACAGTATACTACAAAATACATGTTTAATACAATTATGCACTATTTCCCGGGTACTTTATATATGGTGCACCCAATGTACAGCACATTTACCCTAATATTGAACAACATATCAATAGATTGTATAATCGATTAGAGAGAGAGAGAGAGACAGGACAGGGATGTGAGTAATACTGCACACAATTAGTGGCGGCAGTAAGGGGTGCACCACCAGCACAGGGAGTGTACAGACCTGGTTGCGCCGGATATATGGTGGCTGCCGGTTGACCCCCCGGCATAAACCCGGCTGGGGGTGGCATCGCGTGGCCGGGCATTCCCGGCTGAGCCGAGTAAGGGGGCGGTGGTTCCATAGGCTGTCCCTGCTTTTGATCCATTAGTTCGCTATTAGCTGTATATATGAGACAAAAAAATATTTATAAAAATTTATTTTTTCACTTAAACACGAGATTTAATTAGAAATTGTTATGTTGTTAATCAGGCATAAAATGCGAGTATTTTTTAACTAGGTGCTAATTTGGAGGTCAAGCACGTACGTACGTACATTGATTGGCAATTATTTTAATGACCGTTATCTATATTATCTACACACACTAATTGTTTGTGTGTGATAGGTGATTTAATAATAACTGGCTATTCATGCATTCATTATACGCTAGCATAACATGACTGACACATACGTTACTCCCTATGAGAGACGTCTGTATTATTAAAAGTATTTTCGCATTCAATATGAATGACTAATTAAAAAATCATTTATACTGTATTGACATTTACAGTGAATATTTGTACCTGTCTACGTGAGGAATATACAGGGAAAATACCTTTGTAATTATCAAATAGATATAGACACCACAAAAATATGAGTGAGGTAGAAAATGATACTAATGTAGGCGCAAATATGTCACTAGGGCTTTTTATATACTTAATTAAACACTACCAAAAAACACAATAACAGATTTATTTATTATTAATACACAGTATGTATATGTATTAAAGCATATACCGTAATGTATAATAAATTACGTATAGTAAAAGCGAGCTATGCACAATAATGTTATTAAACTAGAAACACAACTAGAACATTAATAAAATATTATAAATTAACACGATTAATTGTGTACACTATATATGGCACACACTATAGCGAGTATACACTATATAATAGTGTTTTGCAATAGAAATATATGATTACGAAAAACAGTGACTGTATATATTAATTATGAATAATACCTTATAATATAATATTACTTTTGTAATATGAATGCGCGTATCCCATACACACTCACCACAAAATGTATGACTAAACCAAAAACTACTGGTGCTATTTTGCTGGTTGTGCTGTGCACTGGTACTCTGTCTACACATGTATGCGCTATCTATGAGTTTGTATAGTATTACACTCTAATAGACTTTACATTGCATTGCATTTTACACGAGAAATCTGTATTTGATTTCACTATTAGTATACAATAGGTTCGTATACAACGTTACACTTTAGAGTGGGGGGAGTTTCAGTTATATGTGTGAGTGCGCTGTATAAATAAATCTTTTAATGAAATATTACAAATATTTACTAGACTAAAATCACTATTGATTAACTTGGGATGCTGTGATCACCATGGTAACTGGAAAAGTTTTAATATCTTATAATAAAGCAAATATTTAATTTATAATTGCATAAACCCGTATAAAGTATGCACTTGAACAACTTTATTGTAATATGAATATTCATTAAATAAACTAAAATGTACAGAATATTATGTGACAAAATGTAAATTATGTTTGCTTGGTATTTTAATATGTATGATTCTAAGCATGTATGAATGTAACAAAAGTTATATTTTTATTTATTAAATATTTAAAAAATAATATTGTCATTAGGGATACTTAATATTTAGGTACATGTATGTAAACATGCACAATCATTACCGGGTATATTGCACCTGCGTCAATTTAGGCAAACAATTTCATGTGAAATGTTAAGAAAACTCATCAAAAGATCATTTATTGAGTCAAAAAAGTTTTATTTTTGTTACAAGTATTGCACTTTAATTGAAATCCAATGAAATTCAATTCACAACCTGCTGTATATATAGCCAGTATGGATAACCATGCTAATAATAGACACCAATTAGGCACAGAATATTCTAGTCAATAGATTATTAGTCTGTGTTTACTTACCATTTCAATAGAGTCTAAATATATACGGAACTGGAAAAATACGATATTAAATATTTTTCAAAATATAATCGGATAAGTAAATTAAATCTTATGTTAATGTATATCTTCAGATATAAGTTCGTTCCCTGTAAAACCAATGTTAATTATTTTTCATATTTATAAACATTTCAAATGAATCCAGATAATATTGAACGATGAATCTAATTCTGTAATAGTGATTTTAAAATGAAACAAAATAAACTTTGTATGTTACCCACGACATCTGATGTCACTAAATCAAAGTTAATAAACAAAATTTATTTAATATTCTAGAAATTCTAGAAAATAGAAAGTTATCAAAATGTTTGTGGTGTGCTTGCTAATTTGCAGCTAGTTTTTTATTATACAATATGAACAAAAACTGTAACATTAATTTAAAATCACAAATAGAATCATGGTATTAACAAAATGAATGATTTAGGTTTTATTTTTATGTAATATGTAATTTTAGCTTAATTACTAAATATTCCTGGTTATTTATACAGAATTTAATAAGGTGTGAAACTATAAAATTCATACAAACTGTAAACAACTAAAATCATCCTAAATTATTTATTCAATTCACATTAAATTATCTAAATGGGACAGTTATAAAAGGAACAAGTTTATTTTTAATTCATTGTCAGTGATTGCTGGAAAACATAGTATTGTGATTACCAGGGTCGTGCTACATACAAAATTTATTTAGGCCGCCGGTGCCTGAATATTTTTAGGGGCAGTCTATACGGTTAAACAGGGACTGTAGGCCATTGACATACAAGTAATTGTAATTAAATTATATTTATTTATGACATTATATTGTGTAGTGGGCGGACAGTCCGGTGACTGTAGTGGCGTTCCTCATACTCCCGGGCCGTACCAACAACTTCAATGTGGACTCATTGAGAGGTCAGGCCATTGCCAAACAGCTCCGGGACACCATCGACGACGTCCAGTCAAGTATTGGCAAACGATTGTTTGAACAGTGCTTAGGGTATGTCCGCAGTGGCCAGTCTATCTATTTACTCATTTAAACTGTACTCAAATGCACATTTGTATGTACAATGTGTTCAGTTGTCGATACCTTTTTATTTGGCGTTGTATTCGCATTTGTAAAATGTATTATTATTTTTACTTTATTTAACAAACTGTAATATCTGTAAAAAATTATATAAATCACTTTGAAATAAATATGCTTAATGTATGGGAAGTATTATCGGAAGTGTTTTTGTACATATAATTATTAAAACCGGTCATAATTAAGTTAACTAGGTGACTAATATATTAGAAAACCGATAAAAAAATTTACAAATTTTCTTATAACTACCAATTTTGAATAATGCAGTAATAATTTAAAATATTACATAATTATAGATACGACTCATGTTATGGTATTTCTAGTAATAATAGTCTATTACAATCCAATATACCGTATATTAACCCTGGTTATTTGGGTCCCTGCGCCGCTGCCAACTGTTCAACAACCGGGACGATCGTGTCAAGGTCATCTTTCACCCGGAGTTCCTCATCTACCAGTCCCCTCATACCTATCGACTACGAGGTACAGAATTGGTACAGTTTTGAACAATTCTTGATGTAAATGTGCGTAGAAACATGGCGGACACTGACTCTGCCAGTTGTGATAGTTTCGTGGCTGACGCCAAAAAATACAAAAATGCTATTTTTGACGAGTTTGCAAAGTTTAGTAAGACCTCGACACAACTTGTCAACTGTAAACAACCGGGACGATCGTGTCAAGGTCATCTTTCACCCGGAGTTCCTCATCTACCAGTCCCCTCATACCTATCGACTACGAGGTACAGAATTGGTACAGTTTTGAACAATTCTTGATGTAAATGTGCATGATAATCTTTATGCATATAACATAAACTATTACAGTATAGTACTAGTTGATTATATTTGTTTTAATAGAATTATTGTTTAATTCAATTATTTTATAATTTAGTAAATTAGTTTTATAAATATAATAGACGAGTTTTTATATAAAATATGTTGTATTTTTAAACTGTAGCTTTTTTCATAAAACTGAAAGTTTATACAGTAATTCAGGCATGTTTATAAAATGGATAATATTATGTTTCATTTTCTGACAACCCTGTAGATTTTTCCCGAAATTAGGAAAGTTTAACTCTCTCTAGTTTTCTTGTTTTTGAACCGATCTTTTCGATCGATCGCTTAAATTAAAGATCGATTCTTCCTCTTCAATATGAATGTCAGTCATCCCGGATGTGACCGAAAGTGGTCGGGAATGGGATCTTGCAATTAGTTCCGAGATTTCACCGAATCGGACGAAATAGAAAAATATTTTTTAAGCAAAAATTCTCTATCATATACACTATTAAATAAAACAAACCCCGTTTCAAAATATTCAAACAGTCTTGAGATATTTAATTTTTTTGTAGCGTCTAAATTAAGTATTTCCCAATAAATGATTTTTTATAATATTTCAAAATATAGTTATTAACAAAAGTCCAATATTTATTGCTTAAATGAATAATGGTTACCATGGTTAGATTATCGATTATTGATTTATTTCTAGATTTCATAAATAATAATCTAAATGCTATTTAAAAACAATAAAAGATATTGATATAATTAATGATTATTTTGATTTATTATAAAATCTCGTTATTTTAAATATAATAAATATTTATCATATTTTTATTATAATTATTATAATTAAGTCAGAAATGTCATTTATATAAAAGAACATTATAAGAAATCTATTTTTTATTTTAATAATATTATTTTAAGTTGTATCGAAAGTTTATACAATATTTAAATCTTAAACATGACTAAATTATGTGAAATTTTTGCCAAGAACCTTTTAATTGACTTTTATATAAAACTATTGAAAAGACAAACATTAAGTTCAAGTAAACCACTAATCATTGAATACATTGTGTATTATATTTATTATGTTAATATTATTAAAATAATTATCTGTATGAATTATTTGAATTATAACACCCGGCTAAAACTCTATGACATGAGCCTGTTTATGGGAGACATTTATAAATATTCAAGTATTGTATTGATCTTGGGTAATATTTACGGTATTTATGTGTTTAAGTATTATCATCTTAATAAATGCCCTGATTATTTAAAAATCACAAATATTTACGATGCAATCAATGGTACGGTAAATGCAAATGTCATATTTACCGGTAGTAATGCAATGAACTTGATGAGAAAGTTAAGAATATTTTCAAAGTTTATTAATAAATTACTAACTGCAACCTTGATGCAAACTGGTAAGATTTAAAAAAATAATTACATCTATGTTAGCCAATAAATAATTATAATTGTTTCTTATATTAAAA